GTTATGCCGACGTGCTCTTGAGCAGGCATTCCCGGGCAGTGCGGGTGTTGCAGCTGCTCCTCCGGGCCAGCAGGGGGCGTCGCGCTGCAGAGCCGAGGCAGACTGTCCGCCGGGTTCTGTAATCCAACATGTCTGCGCCCTGAAGGATGCTGCTCACGGCGTGAAGGAGCGGGACAAGCGACAGGTAAGAGAACACCGAGGCACCTTGTCGTTTCTCCACAGTGTCACACGGTCATATTTAAAATGTTCACAAGGTTCTCTCCGTGTGGAGGCCGGAAGTGTCTGCGTTCGCTTTAGCTGCCTGTAGCTTGTTTGCTCTTCAATGTGACTGTGGACGTAAAGTGCAGCTGTCGTGCGACACATTTGTTCGGTGAAGTATGTCAGCGTTGTTATAGTTTCATGGATTAAACGGTCGCCAAAGAAAAGAATGTAAAACAAATCGTACAAGTATTACGTTTTTTTTTCAGTTTTAAGACTCAAACTGGGAGTCAAAGCTGCTACTGGTGCTGTAATAGCTTTTAATATTTTGATAAATATGGAAACATCATTGTGACTGAAGACTGTAAATCAATGGTAGCCAGATTTTCTGTGTGTATTTGTTGCTTTTTTACCAAGTGTTAACACTACTGGATAATCAAGTAACAAAGGGAGTTACAAAGATGATTGTTGAAGCCGCTGGACATAGTCTGGTTCTTACTCTAAGTGATGTGAGCAATGTTGAACAGTTCTGGTTATTTTTGCCAGAGATATTCTGTTTCATTGCCAAGCAGGTTTTCACACAGGAGGAATACGACTTGGTGTTTTGGTAATAACAGGAAATACTGACAAGCAGAACATTGAAAGAGGTTAAGTTTTTTTTTCTTCTTTTTTGGAAAAAAAAAACAAGCGTTGCATGTCAAATAAACAGTAAGTCACACAAGACAAGAAATAAATAACCAGTGTAGCAAATCGAAGCCATTACAAAGTAATGAAATATTTACAATGTTATTCAAATAGGACAGCCGTGTAGATTTTGCAGGACTGTGTAATCATTATCATCTTTATTGTCTGCATTGTGAAAGCTCTACAAAAAGAAATACTACAATAATAAAAAATAAATGTACAAAGAAAAAGTGGCAAAGGTATAAATTCACTCCATCATACACAAGTTTATCTCTTGTATTCTTTCAAGCCAGGGGAGGGGGGAGGTCAGGCTCTCTGGGTTTTGTCTCATTCTTCCAGCATTGAGGCACTTCAGGGCCTCCACAGAATTATTTGTGTGGGTTTATCTTCCTCTCATCCTCCTATGAAACTGGGCACTCTGATTTACACCAGTGAGAAAGACAAGATAAGACTTTGTGTGCACTCCCAAGGCCTCAGGATCAAGCTGGCCTCCTGAGCAAAACCAGACTGAATTACACTCAGCCCTTCCCATGAGAGAGCACGCAGTTTGTGTATGAAATATGCAAAAGAATAGCACGCCTAGTGTCAGCGGTAAAATATGATATGTGACTTTCTGTTTGATTGTTTGGACTCAGCTGGAAATACATGATGGCACATACATTAGTCAGTCGTATTTAAAATTATTTACCTTTGTTGCCAGGCTACTGTCAATCACATCTGCTAAAACTGCAACTACGCAGTCTGTCAGCATCTGTTAAAAGCCTTATACCCTGCCAAACTTAATCTTACTGGCATGAAAGCCCTCTTGTTTCTTAATTGTACCAAACTGAATCCCTCGATTCACAGATATTTTTCTCAGCAGAGTTCTGTACTTGTCACTGCATGAAAAGCACACGTGGAACTAACAGCATTAACCTTGGCTTTGTTCCAGCAATTATTCCAATGCAATGCTGCAATTAATGGTGTTATTTATTGCAGCTGTGGTTGACAAGCTAATATGCAAAAAGGCCTATTTATCTTCATTATTACTGCCCTCAGTCACCCCTAGTTTTTGGATCTACTAGTTGAAATCACACCCTAACCTACCAAATGATACCTGTTAAAAGAGAATGGCAAGATGCCTATGGATCAATGATCTAATTGCTTCTTTTCCCAAAACTTCGTTTTCAAGCCAGGACAAAAGTGTAGTTCTGTTTGGACTGAACAATAGTTCAGCCAAGATTGTGTAAGACATTGAAGTTTGTAAAGATGTTTTGACAACAATAACCTTTCTGGACAAGATCATAGCTTATTAACATACGTTTTTCTTTCCTTTTTTTTCTTACCGTGGCTTATCCCAGGAGTGTACGTGCAGGAGTTGTGAGCAGTTTAGTGGGAAAATATTTTGTTTGCCATCATTGACAGTTTTATTTTAAAAATCTTTTGTAGTATTTTTGTGTAAAAAGAAATGCATAGATTTAAATCCTCATTGCACAGCGGCTGAGATCTGTTTTTAGTGCATGTAAGCTGGAAATACAGTATTTCACTATGGCACAACTTGTATGTTGCTTTCTTTCATGCATGACCAACACAGTCAGTACCAGTGCTAAAGGTATTTGAGAAAACTCCTGAATAGTTTATAATTTTGGATCAGTGACAAAAAAAGTTCCACCTTCTCAGTGTTGTAGAATAGCTGAGTCATTTACCTGCAATTGCTTCTTGCAGAGTCCTTGTAGGTAAGGACAGCTGACCCCTGTTCATTCTCGTGTCCATTTCTGAGGTCACTAAGCATCCACCCTGTGCACTTTTATTTATTAACGA